CCATGGGAGAGGGGCGGCCGGGGAGGTCCAAAATAGTCCAGGAGGGCCTCCAGAGGCTCCCAACACGGCCCAAGCGGGCCCCGAGTCGCCGAAAGACCGCTCCAGGACGCCCAAGATAGGCCCAAGACGGCCCGAGAGGCGCCCCAAGGCACTCCACGACGCTTCAAGACGCCTCTCCAGAGCGCTTCCAGAGGCCGAAATCGTCAAGTTTACGAAGGTTTTCGAACGATTTTGGCCTTCCAGCCTTTTCGGCTGTCCGACGTTCCACGACGGCTCAATAGGCCCCCAAGAGCGCCCCAAGACGGCCCAAGAGGGCCCCAAGACGGCCCCAGAGTCGCCCAAGACAGCCCAACAGAGCCCCAAGACGGCCCCAAGATGCGCCCAAGAGGGGGACCACGACTCCAAAATTCGACCCTCCCGCTTGAAGAGTGCCCCAGGAGGCCCCAAGGAGCCCCCAAGAGGCCCCAGGAGGCCCCCAAGAGGCACCCAGGAGGCCCAAACGAGGCCTAAAGAGGCCACAAAACAGCCCCGAGGAGGCCCCACAACGGTCCCAAAACGGCTACCGAGAAGCTGCGAAACTGCCTTCACGACGTCCCCGACAGGCCAACCACGAGATCCAAACCAACACCCATGAGGCCTCTGACCCACCACCCAGGGCACGGTGGCGGGAGCAGTGACAGCACTTGTGCACAGCATGTTCCGGCGGGAGCCTTCCGGAACACGCTGCAGGAGGAGGAAGATCAGGAGGAGAGAGAGAGCTGGAGTGGGAGGAGGAGGAGGGGGACGAGGAGGAGGAAGAGGCCTCCCAGACAGCTCCAAGATAGCCGAAGAGGCTTCCAAGAGGGTCCTGGGCGGCCCACGAGGGCCCCAAGGCGGTGCCTGAGGCGCCCAAGACGGCCCGAGAGGGCCCCAAGACGGCCCCAAGAGAGGCCCAAGAAGGGAAACATGAACCGAGAATCCGAGCTTTCTACCCCGAGAGGTTCTCGGGAAGTCCCAGGAGGCCCCCAATCGGATCCAAGAGGCCCCCAAGAAGCTCCCGAGAGGGCCGACGAGGCTCCAAGAGATCTCCCAAGGTGGCCCCAAGAGGCACAACTCATTGTTTTACGATTGGGCTTTGACGTTTTTTTTCGGCCTTTTGGCATCCCGATGCTCCAAGACGGCCCCAAAGGCTTCCAATACCGCTCCCACATAGAGGAAGAGGCCTCCAAGAGGGCCCCAAGACGGCCCGCGAGGGCCCCAAGACGGTGCTTGAGGCACCCAAGACGACCCGAGAGGGCCCCAAGAGCCCCAAGAGAGGCCCGAGAAGGGGAACGCGACCCAACAGCAGAGCGGTCCCCCCACAAGGCCCACAGGAGGCTGCAAGAGGCCCCAAAGTGGTCCGACGAGGACCCCAAAAGCTCCCCGAGGGCCCAAAAGGCCCCTGGGAGACGTCCAAGAGGTTTTAAAATAGCCCAAGAGTGCCCCAAATGCATCAAAACTGCTTCCAGGAGGCCCCCAGGAGGCTTCCGGATTGCCTCAATCTGGCCGCAGGTGGCCTCAAGTCGGGCCTCCACGCAGCCAAGACGGCCAATGACGGCTTCAGATTGCAGAACCGATGCCCCCAAGGGACCCTCAGTTGACGAAGCATGCGGAACACCCCAGAAGCTCCTCAGATGCCGTCGCGCGCCTGTGCTTGATAGCGTTGTCCAAGATCGTCCAGCGCCCCCCCGGTCTGGGCTAGAACCTGAGCGCGCGCGAAGCGCGCGCGATGGTTCTAGTATGTATGTGTATATGTATATATATATATATATAGATGTACATATGTACTATGCATTCATAGACGCATGTGTGTGCGCATGTACGCACGCTCGCACTCCGCTAGCGTGCGAAATCCAAAGGACCAAGGTGCATGGCGCGCAGCGCCAATGCAGTCTTGTATACATATATTTATGTATGCGTGCATGCGTGCATGCATGCATGCATGCATGGACATCTCCTGTGTTTTCATGTTGCGTATATTTCTTTATTTTTCTCTTGCTCCTTACACACAGATAGACGTAGAACTGGGGGCAGTGCCCAGGGGCCCAAGGGCCACGACCCCTATGTCAAATGGGGAGCCGGGGGGCCAGGCACGCCTTTGGGGTTCCCAACGGCGCCCCAAAGAAGGGTCCGACGGGCGCCACAACGGCCCAAGACAACCCCGCACGACCTTCAAGACGGTATCCAGGGGTGTCCGGCGGCCGACGAGGCGTCTCGAACTGCCCCTGAGGCGTCCAAGACGTTTGGAGACCCGTCCAAGATATCTTCCAGAAGGGCCCCGACGAGCAAATATGATTCCATATTTTGTGTAAAACGCACATGTGTCGCATATTCGTTTTCTGGGGTCGCGTACAGCGATGTCACCAGAAGCCCCCGCGACGGCCCCAAGACGGCCCAAGAGGGTCCCAAGGCAGTCGAAGAGGCGCCCAAAACAGCCCAGAGGGCTGCGCGAGGAGCCCCAAATCGTGAATTCCAATTGAAACACCGGGCCCCCGCCCCAGAGGACCCCAATAGGCCCCCACAAAGCGAAGCCCCCAAGAGGCGCCAAGAGGCCCCCAAGACGCTCGCGAGAGGGGCCAAAAAAGCCCCCCAGGGGCCCCCAAGAGGCCTCCAAGAGACCACAAGAGACCCCCAGGAACCCCCCAGGACATTTCCAAGAGGCCCCATACGGGCCTCTGAGGGACTTCGTAAGAAACTACATTGCACATTTACGATAGGCCTCTGGTCCACAACCTAGGCCCGTTCCTTGAGCGCCGCCCGATCGGTACAGACGTTGTTTGTGATTGTGCGTGTGTGTATGTATGTGGCACCGCCTGTTTTCTGAGCTTCCGGCCGCCTGAGGCCCCGCCCGCCCGCGCCCTGTCTCCCTTATTGGGGCTACCCACGTCCCGTTTAGCTCTTGACCGGAAGGGGCCCGCTCCCGACCCGCAGACCAAAAAAGTGTGTATGCATGTGTATGTATGCATGTACGTACGCATGTTCGTATGCATGCACGAGTGTGTGTGTGTGTGTATGTGCTCATCTTTGTGCGCGTGTAAGAGGGAAGACAAATCATTTGGTTTGGCGAAGAGCCCACCCCAATGCAGCTGCGTCTGGCGCAGACCGCGGTTCTCTCTTGAAGTATTGCGCGCCGCGGGGCAGAGGATAGGGGTTCGCTGTGGAGGTATCGCGCGCAGGCACCGTGAGTTTCTTGTGAGACGCGATCTGTGTGAACGGGTTGGCCCCCGCGCGAGCGCGCCCACTGAGGCCGTAGGTGAAGCTCTTTGTGGAGCGCAATCCGCGTGTATCGGCGCCGAGACGGGCGTGGGGACGCCATGCGACATTGCCCATGCGTGCCATAGATGGAGATCCTTGTTGGCTACGATCCGCGACAAGGGGTGTGCCGAAATATGCGGAGGGGCGCTCTCTATGATGCGCGATTCGTGTGAGGGGTAGGAAGAAAATTGGCGTAATGACGCCATGCGAAGCCTGTCTCTGGATCCGTAGGTGGAGCTCTTTTTGGGCCACGATCCTTGCCAGGGGTGTCCCTCTAGGGGTGGAGCGGATACGAACCTTGTCTGCGGGGCTACCGGTTGAGCTCCCTATGGGACACGATCGCTTTGAAGGGTGAGTCGACACATGCGGGAGGGCGCTATGCGAATCTTCCCAGTGGCGCCGCACGTGGAACTCTCAGTGGGGCACATTCCGTGTGAAGGGTGTCGCGAAATGGGCGGAGGGGCGCCATGCGAATTTTGACTCTTGGCGCCGTACGTGGAGCTCCCAGAGGGGCACGATCCGTGCGAGGGCCGATCCGAAATTGGCCAGGTGACGCTATGCGAACCCTGCGTTTGTCTGGGGCCGTTGGTGTCGCTCCCTGGGGGGTTCGATCCATGTGAAGAGTGCCGAAATGAGCTGGTGGACGCTATGCGGTCCCGCCTGCCTCCTTTGCCTTCCTCCGCTCATCCTGATTCCAACCGCCCCTGCCTGAGTCTTTTCTCATCGTTCCTTCCGCCTGTAGCCTCGCTTCTCCCTCTTCCCTCTTCCTACCCGTTCCTCTGTTCTATTAAGGAATCCCCTAGAAGGCCCAGCTCCTCCACGCGCCAAGGGCGACCCTTGCCTCGGCTCTCCCTGGATATCTTGGGGCTCGTAGATCAGCGCAAGGTCTATTGACAACGACTGCGCAGTCGGCCAGACAGTTGCCGAAGGCGTCAGACGGGCCAAAAGCGCCCTTCGCCAACTCGGGAACCTCCTGAAGGCCGCAAGCTGGCCCCAAGAGACCCTCTAGAGCCCCCAGTAGGCCCACAAGACACGCTCAGGAGGCCCCCAAGAGGCTTCCATGAGGCCCCCTCCGAGGCTTCCTGATGCCCGTGGGGAACAGCCGCCCATATGTTCCCGGAGACCTCTCTGAGAACATTTTGGGCGGAGGAGGAGGAGGAGGAGGAGGAGGAGGAGGAGGAAGGGGGAAGATGATCAGCTGCAGAAGGAGGAGAGGATGAGGGGCAGGACATAGGACAGAAGGAACATGGGGAAAAGGAGAAGAAATAGCAAGAGGAAGAGAAGGAGGACGAACAGGAGTGACAATGGAGTTTGGAGGAGGAGTAGGGAATGAGGAGGGAGAGCGAGAGCAGGAGCAGGAACGCGGGGAGGAGGAGGACGAGCAGGAGGAGGACGAGGAGGAGGACGAGGAGGAGGCAGGGGGAGGGGAGAGGGCCGAGACGGATGATGGAGGCTCTGCAGCGCCCGCACGCAGCGGACTTCGCAATGTCGCCGGTCAGACGAGCGAAAGCGAGAGCCGTCAGACGTGGCGCAGCTGTGACTAGAAGCGAAGGGCGCGCGTAGCGCGCGGGTGGCTTTAGTGTGTGTATACATATACACAGATGTACATGTACATTGCGTTGTCTCTCTTTTGTTTTTTTTTTCTCTCTCTCTCTCTTTCTCTCTTTCTATCTCCTCATCTCTCTAGCATTCCTTTCTCTCCTCCCCGTCGCCACTCCTCGGTGCAGAGGCGCTCGACTTCTTCAGGGGGCTGGGCGACGGGGACGACACGAGGGCCATGGCCTGCAGCAGGGACCTGGAAACCAAGGCTCGGTGCTCGTCCCCCCCCCGCTCAGCGCGTGCGTCGGGCGTCAGGGCGGCACGATACATGGGGCGGTAAAGAACAGTGCACCTATTGTTTTTTGTTTTACAAAAAAAGAGCAAAAGGTGCACGTTCCCCCCACCCCACCCTCCTTCGCGTTCATCGCCCCCCCCCCCAGTAATTAGCGCCCAGTGCTCGTCCAGCCCCCCCGCCCAGCGCGCGCTTCCAGCGTTGAGCACATCGGCCGGGGCTAGGACGAGGAAAGATCCGTCCCAGAACGTTCCAGAACGTCCTCAGAACGTTCTAGGACGCTCTCAGGGCGTTCCAGGCCGCGGCGCCCGAGTCAACCTCCATAACCAACGGATCTCAGTAATTATTTTGGATTCCTCTCGCTTCGCGGGGTGCACGTCCAGAGCACGTACAGTCCAGTCGTTGTCGGGCCTTTGGGAATTTCTTGGGTGCCATTGGAGGCCTCTTTGGGGCCTCTTGGGTCCTCGCGGGGGCGTCTGGGAGGCCTCTCGGAGGCCTCTGGGAGGCCTCTTGGGGACCTCTTGGGGCCCCGTGTGGGCGTCTTGGAGGCGCTCTTGCGCTGTCTGGTCCCTTCGGAGACTGTCTTGGGGGCCTCTTGGGGCTGTCTGGGGGCCCTCTTGTGCCGTTTTGGGGCCCTCTTTAGGGCTTCTTGGGCCGTCTGAGGGCCACTTCGGAGGCTGTTTCAGCTGTCCTGGACTTCTGAACGCTGAAATCTTCAAAAAACCATTGGAAAATCAATTGTTTTTGGCTTCTGGAGGTGCTCTTGGTGGTCCTCTGGGGGCCGTCTTGGGGCGCCTTGGGGTCTTTGTAGGGCCTCTTGGGGCCATCTTGGGCCGTCTTGGGACCATCTTGGGCCGTCTTGGGGCCATCTCGAGCCGTCTTGCGGCCTTGTTGGGCCCCAAGAGGGCCAACAGGCCCAACTCATTGATTTTCTATAGGCTTTGGTAGGTTTTTGAGGCGCAGGAGGGAGGGGCCACTTTGGGTCGGCGGAAGTGGCGTGGCCCTGAGGGGGGGTTAGGGGGGTACATAATAATGTAACACAATACAATATGTAGCAATTATGCAATCATGGGATACATTGGAGACGTTGCATTATAGCCTCCGCGGACCTGCCTCCGGCAACACGTCACCTGCGGACGTGGATTCCTCTCGCTTCGCGGGGTGCACGTCCGGAGTACGTACAGTGAGGTCGTACAGTGAGGCGTTTGGAGGGCTTCTTTGGTCCGGCTTGAGCCCTCTTCGGCCGCCTGCGGGCCCTCTTGGGGGCTCTCTTGAGGTTTTGTTGGGCCGTCTTGGAGCCATTTCGGAGGCTTCTTGGGCCGTCCTGGGGCTCGGGGAGTCGACAAAGGCGAGAACGCCAAAATCTTTCAAAACTCAATGGGAAATCAATGATGTTTGTTTCTGGAAGCGCTGTTGGAGGTCCTCTTGGCGCCCTCTTGGGGCGTCTGGGTTTTTGGGGGGGCCCTCTTGGGGCCATCCTGTACCGTCTTGGTCACGTCGTCGCGGGGCCTCTTGGGAGCCTCTTGGGGGCCTCCTGGAGGCCTCTTGGGAGCTTCTTTGAGCCTCTTGGGGGCGTCTTTGGGGTTTCTCCCCCATCCCTCCTTTTCATACTCCCTCCCCATATCCCCTTCCAGTGCCAGCTCTAATCATGGGCGCCGCCGTGACCAACTTCCACCTGGCTGGCGCTGCGCCGCAATTCGCCCAAGGGGGGAAAATCACAGTAGACTCCAGTCGCTGCGTGGGTTTTCGGGGGCTTCTATGGGGCCTTTTGGATGCTTCTTGGAGACTTTTTGGAGGCCTCTTGGGGGCTTCTTGGGGCCCCTTGGGGGCCTCTTGGGGGCCTCTTGGGGCCTCTTGGGGGCGTCCTGGGCCGTCTTGGGGCGTTTTTCTGTTGTGTCGCCCCTTCGGAGGCCGTCTTGGGGGCCTCTCGCGGCCGCCTTGGGGCCCTCTTGGGGCCCTCTTGGGGTCCTCTTGGGCCGTCTTAGGGGCCTCTTGGATTTTTTTGGGGGCCTCTTTGGGCCGTCTTGGGCCCTCTTGGGCCGTCTTGGGGCCCTCTTAGGGACTTTTTGGGTTGTTTTGGGGCGACGTTGGAAGCTGTTTGGGCCGCAAAAGCGAGAACGCCGGAATATCGCCCAAACCATAGGAAAATCAATGACTTTGGCATCCGGAGGCGCAGCCGTGGGCGCCCCCGGGGCCCTCTTGGGCCGTCATTGGGGCTTTGTGGGCCCTCTTGGGCCCATCTTGAAACGTCTTGGCGCCCTCGTGGCCCCCCGAGAGGCCCAAAAAGTCGAAATCGTTGATTTTACATAAGTTTTGGTAATTGTTTGAGCCCCAAATGGGGGTCTCCATCTTGGGTCCACGGATGCGGCGTAGCCCCCGGGGGGGAAGGGGGGGTAGGGGGGGAGACATACCAACGTAATGCAATACAACATGTGGCAAGTATGCAACAATTGGATACATTGGGTACGTTGCATTATCGCCTCCACAGAAAACGCTGCCGCTCAGCACGTCACTTCCGGACGTGGATTCCTTTCGCTTCGCGGGGTGCACGTCCGGAGCACGTACAGTCACGTCGTCGCGGAGCCTCTTGGGAGCCTCTTGGGGGCCTCCTGGAGGCCTCCTGGGAGCTTCCTTGGGCCTCTTGGGGACTTTTTTGGGGGCCTCTCCCCCTCACTCCTTTTCATACTCCCTCCCCATATTTCTTTCCAGCGCCGGCTCTAATCATGGGCGCCGTTGTGACCAACTTCCACCTGGCTGGCGCTGCGCCGCAGTTCGCGCAGGGTGGAAAAATGACATTACACTCCAGTCGCTGTGTGGCCTTTGGGGGGCCTCCCCGGAGCCCCCGGGAGGCCCCCCGAGGACACCTTGGAGGCCTCTTCGGGTTTTTTTTTGGCCCTTTGGGGGCCTCTTGGGTGCCTCTTGGGGCCTCTTGGGGGCGTCCTGGGCCGTATTGGGGCGCTTTTGCGCCGTTTCGCCCCTTCGGAGGCCGTCTTGGGGGCCTCTCGCGGCAGCCTTGGGGCCGTTTTGGGGTCTTCTTGGGCCGTCATAGGGGCCTCTTGGACCGTCTTGGGGGCCTCTTTGGGCCGCCTTGGGGCCCCGTTGGGCAGTATTGGGGCCCTCTTGGGGGCTTCTTGGGTTGTTCAGGAGCGAGTTGGGAAGCTGCCTGGGCCGCAAAGGCGAGAACGCTAAAATCTTACCAAACCAAAAGGAAATCAATGATTCGGGCTTCTGGAGGCGAAGTTGTGGGCGCTCTTGGGGCCCTCTTGGGCCGTCAGTGGGGCTTTTTGGGCCCTCTTGGGGCCGTTTTGGACCGTCTCGGGGCAGTCTTGGTCCGCGCACAGCCCATCTGGAACTGTCTTGGTAACCTCTTGGCCCTTCAAGAAGCCCAAGAAGTCGAAATCATAGATTTTCTATTGGTTTTGGTAAGTTTTTGAACCCCGGGAGGGGGGGGGCACTTTTGTCTGCTCCTGTGGCGCAGCTCCCAGAGGGGGGGTTAGGGGGGGAGACATAACTAATAATGTAACACAATGCACTATGTGGCAATTATGCAATCATTGGATACATTGGGTACGTTGCATTATCGCCTCCGCAGAAAACTCTGCAGGGTGTTTCAGAGCACGTTCAGTCCAGTCGTTGTGGGGCCTCCTGGGAGTCTCTTGGGAGCTTCTTGGAAGCTTCTTAGGGTTTTTTTTGAGCCTCCGGGTGGCCTCTTTGGAGCCTCTTGGGGCTTCTTGGGGACGTTTTGGGCCGTCTTTGGGCGCTCTTACGCCGTCTGGCCACTTCGGAGGCCACTTTGGAAGCCTCTCGCGGCCGCCTTGGGGTTCTCTTGGGGTCCTCTGGGGCCGTGTCGTTTTTTTTTTTCGGCCGTCTTGAGGGTTTTTTTTGCCGTTTCGGGGCCCTCTTGGGCCGTGTTGGGGCCCCCTTGAAGGCCTCTTGGGCCTTTTGGGAGCCTTTTTGGAGGCTGCTTGGGCCGTCATGGCCTTCTGAGAGCCGCAAAAGGCGAAAACGTTGAAATTGTACCAAAACTATAGGAGAATCAAAGATTTTGGCCTCCGGAGGCGCTCTCGGGAGTCTTCTTGGGGGCCTCTTGGATTTTCTTGGGGGCCTCATGGGCCCTCTTGGGGCCATCTTGGGCCGTCTTGGGGCCGTCTTGGGCTGTCTTGGGGCCATCTTGGGCCGTCTTGAAACTTTCTTGGGGCCCCAAGAGGCCCAAGAGGCCGAATTTGTTGATTTCTCATAGGTCTTTGATGTTTTTGAAGCCCAGAAGGGGTCCGCCACCTTTGGGTCGACGGAAGTGGCGTGGCCCCTGGACGGGGGGTTAGGGGGGGAGACATAATAATGTAACATAATACAATACGTTGCAATTATGCAATCATTGGACACATTGGATACGTTGCATTATCGCCTCCGTAGAAAACGCTGCCGCTCAGCACGTCACCTCCGGACGTGGATTCCTCTCGCTTCGCGGGGTGCACGTCCGGAGCACGTACAGTCACGTCGTCGCGGAGCCTCTTGGGAGCCTCTTGGGGGCCTCCTGGAGGCCTCCTGGGAGCTTCCTTGGGCCTCTTGGGACTTTTTGGGGGCCTCTCCCCCTCACTCCTTTTCATACTCCCTCCCCATATTTCTTTCCAGCGCCGGCTCTAATCATGGGCGCCGCTGTGACCAACTTCCACCTGGCTGGCGCTGCGCCGCAGTTCGCGCAGGGTGGAAAAATGACATTACACTCCAGTCGCTGTGTGGCCTTTGGGGGGCTTCTTTGGAGCCTTTGGGAGGTTTCTTGAGGACATCTTGGAGGCCTCTTCGGGTTTTTTGGGGGCCCCTTGGGGGCCTCTTGGGTGCCTCTTGGGGCCTCTTGGGGGCGCCTTTGGCCGTATTGGGGCGCTTTTGCGCCGTTTCGCCCCTTCGGAGGCCGTCTTGGGGGCCTCTCGCGGCCGCCTTGGGGCCGTCTTGGGGTCTTCTTGGGCCGTCATAGGGGC